AGGCTTGCAGGTTTGCATCAAAATTAGGGGCCACAATCGTCTAGAATGAGACGGCTTGGAAAAAATTGAGGGGCTTTGAACACAACTCGGGTTTCTTTAGACTCACCTGCCAAACACATGTGACTTGAGGTCTGGGACTCGTGAACAGTCTTATGAGTGTTTCTTATGTGTTTCTGATATTTAGCTGAATGCATTTAAACAAACACTGACCAACGTAGCAGCAAGCTACACAGGAATCAGACAAGCCAGTTGGACTTGGGACAAAAGACTCAAGACATGACTTGGTATTGCACCTCTTGACGTGAGAATTGACTTGGACTTGAGTATAAAGACTAGAGAATTGGACTTGGACTTGGGTGCTAAGACTTGGAAATTGACATGGACTTGAGTACAAAGACTTGAGAATAGATTGTGACCTGAGTAGAAAGAGTTAAGAATTTACTTAGACTTACGTACAAAGAGTTAAGAATTGAGTTGGACTTGAATACATATATTTGAAAATTGACTTGGACCTGAGTAAATTGCCTTGAGACTTGACATCTCTGGAAGGGATGACTTTAAACTTCCTGGGACTGCACCTTGATTTTGGTTCTTGTTGGCTTTTGGCTCTTGTCATCAAATGTCATCCTCTTTACTGCAGCAGAGGAGTAAAAGCTCAGGCCATCATCTCCATTACTTTCATGAAGGCGGTCTGATACCACCTACTGTCCATAGGTTAAACCAGACTGAAACCTAAAGCGATGCCCACGATGGTTAACGCAATGACGGTGTAGGTGACGATCATGCAGGAAGTGGTGCAGCTCCTCTTCTGGATCCGCATCATCTCGATGCTAGCGTGCCTCTGTATGCAGTCGGCGATGAAGTGCATCATGATATGATCTGACAGCAGCAGTATGTGCTTCACCTTCCCCTCAAATCTGGCCCTCAGCTCGCTGGTGACCCCCATTGCCACAGACTTGTACATACTGACCTCTGGGATGGGCCTGTCTCTGAGGGTGAACTTTGTAACTGTCAGCTCCACCAGATGCTTCATGTGTGTGGCCACCGTGTGTTTGTCCAGGAGCGTCAGGGTGCCGGTGTTGTTGAAGATACCGCGGACCGTAAGGATGAGGAACCTGTAGAGCTGCTTCTCTCTAGGCTTCAAAAATGGAGAGGACAGAGGCGTGGACTCATCTCCCGCTCTACCCTCCAAGGGCGACAGAATAATGTCCTCCATCGTGTTCTCAGCTATGAGGTCGTCATTTAGATCTGCTAATTTTTGGTACTTCATGGTTTCCGGACCTGGTGGCTCCTGCCCCTCCGTCTCCGTTTTTCTCCCTTGTTGTTATCTCTGTGATAGAGCTGGATTCATTCCTTCATGATCTTTTCCTGGTTTGGGGTCTTTTGTCAGTTTGTGCGAAGGTGGAGGAGTGTAACAGCAAACTGTTGTTGGTGGCAGTGTGAAAGGGCAGTTTGGTTTTTTGGTTGGGTTATATGGATGGTTGGTTGGTTGTAATAGTTTTTGACCTCAAAGGATCAAAGACTTTTGCTGATACTCTATGTTATATATGTAATATTGCATCACTGCTCTGTTATTGACATATATAAATATATATACATATATGTGAATATATATTTATGTTTATATAGCCAAAATCTAAATAAACATTTATGTATATATATAATATATATAGGTGTATATTATCAGAAATGTATTTATATATATATGTGCATGTGTATGTACAGTAAATAGTCCCATCGAATAGGCTAAACCTATTCAATGGAACATTATATGTATCAAACATGGCGTCATCTAGTGGCAGTCCTGCCTCTCGACCCCTCGAGACTAAGACGGCAAAATGAATGTCTCTGTTAAGCAGGTGATGTGCGCTCCACGTTTTTATTCTATTGAATCTTCTGTCATCACAGGTAACTGTGATTGGATTCACGCTCGGTATTCCTGACGTCATCATGGGAATCACCTTTCTGGCAGCTGGCACTAGCGTTCCTGACTGCATGGCTAGTGTCATAGTGGCTCGACAAGGTACACACAAAACCACACACACACACACACTCAGGATTGGTCTCCCAGCCTCCCTGACAGTCTGTCACCTCGCTCCTCCCTGTGGTCTCAGGTATGGGAGACATGGCCATCTCCAACTCCATAGGCAGTAACGTGTTTGACATCCTGGTGGGCCTGGGTCTGCCATGGATGCTGCAAACGCTCTGCATCGACTACGGCTCCAATGTGAGTGTCGACCTCAGGACAGTACTTTGCGACTGTCTGTGTGTTCTATCTTTGTCTTTGTGGACAGAGACAGATGGGGTGGTTTTCATGACGGGCTGAAAATCTCTAGTTCAGCACACAGTAACTCTGCTACTGTCTTTATAGGTTCATCTGAACAGCAAAGGGCTGATTTTTTCAGTCGGACTCCTGTTGGCCTCAGTGTTTGTCACTGTAAGTACAGACTTACGAAGTTGTAAGATGGATAGAGGCGGAGTGCGCGACAGATCTACCTTGACTATTTCTCTCTCCTCACCTGCAGGTTCTGGGAGTCCATTTAAACAAATGGACTCTGGACCGTCGGCTGGGCTTGGCCTGTCTCCTCTTGTACGCCATCTTTCTGTGTTTCTCCATCCTCATCGAGTTCAACGTCTTCATCTTTGTCAACCTTCCCATGTGCAGAGACATCCACTGACCCCCCACCTCCTGTCCCATTTCCTCCTCTTCTTCTTCTACTTCAACTCCTTCCTCTGGCTGATGGAGAGAACATCAGCAGCAGAACCAAGTCCTACCTTCCTTTTATTCCACATAGAAATAGAGATGTATAGAATTTATCTTTGGTGCAGTACAAAAGTCCACGAGATAGAGAGAGAGAGAGGGGGACGGAGGGGGTGGGCAGCAGAGGTCGGGGGTTTGGCTGGACTCTAGAAGTGGCTTTGACAGGAAGTTCCACCAGCAGCATTTGGTGCCAATGGTCTCATGGACTGAGGGTTTGAAGAACAGGAGCGTGGCGGTGTGTTAACGCCGTCAGGCCGCCGTTGGTGTAAAAGACTGTGTCTGACGGGCTGACGGAAGGATGGTGCAGTCACAGCTGGACCATCCGTGACTCTTTGTACAAGTTTGGACAAAGCACACAGTTTAGAGTATTTTTAGGTGAACAACAGTCTTTCTCTGTAAATAAGCCAGGGCTTTTATTTAGTGATTTTAGCTGATACTGTATGATACTGGACTCTTATATGCATAAGTGGATCGGTCTTGCGGAGCCAAGCCACCCGTGGACAGTGACGCTTTACGTTAGTGATTTTGGTCTGCCGGTGACACACTCGCTGTGCTGAGTAGCAGCCAGTGTAGCATGCTGTTGTAGCCACCAGTCAGGATTAGCTTCAGACTGACAGAGAGGATCTAGATGTCTAACACTATTGGTGTCATAGAGAATATTCTTGTTCCATTTCCTGTCCACCTAGATGTGGCATTGTAAAGTCCCGCGACGGAATCCATGTTAGGAAAGGATTTTCTCTGGAACCGATTCCAGCACTGTCACTTTATGGGACAAATATATTGTGAGAGGGTGGCTCAACTGAAGCTAAAGCTCCTTTCTAGACAGTCCAGCTGTCGTGCTGTATAGACAGTGGTTTCGTTTTTAGTTCAGTTGGAATTACATGTTACGTTTTGAAGCCAAAAGTATTTTTTAGGGTCTTTTAGGAAGACGAGGCGTTGGTTCGGACTGAGGAGTCGAGTCCACTGTGTGTGTGTGTCTGTGTGATTGAGGGTGCTTTTTGTGTTGTAGGCCAAAAAATGTTTGGAAGACTCATAGGAATGAGACCTGGACAACATTGGTCTCAGACTCAGAGTTTGGAGTTGTCCGTCTTTTAGGCTGTTCTCCAGGAAAATAAGGTTTGATAACATTGCCCCTGTAGAGAACACGTGTGCATGAACTATGGTAGTTACTCACAGCTTCTCAAGAGTAAACGACTTGACTGTCTTATAGTGCTACTATCCAGGTCATGGGCCACGTACTAGAAGTGGAATTACCTAAATTTATCTCGGACTCAGCAGTCGTCTTTAATCTCAGACACTCTCACTGACTTTATTCTCTTCACAAATCACTGATGAATTCGTATTCCTGTTCTTCGTGGTTGGACATGCGTTACCTTTTACCTATAAAGTGTTACTGTGTGTTCTATCTTTGTCTTTGTGGACAGAGACAGATGGGGTGGTTTTCATGACGGGCTGAAAATCTCTAGTTCAGCACACAGTAACTCTGCTACTGTCTTTATAGGTTCATCTGAACAGCAAAGGGCTGATTTTTTCAGTCGGACTCCTGTTGGCCTCAGTGTTTGTCACTGTAAGTACTGTAGTACTTACGAAGTTGTAAGATGGATAGAGGCGGAGTGCGCGACAGATCTACCTTGACTATTTCTCTCTCCTCACCTGCAGGTTCTGGGAGTCCATTTAAACAAATGGACTCTGGACCGTCGGCTGGGCTTGGCCTGTCTCCTCTTGTACGCCATCTTTCTGTGTTTCTCCATCCTCATCGAGTTCAACGTCTTCATCTTTGTCAACCTTCCCATGTGCAGAGACATCCACTGACCCCCCACCTCCTGTCCCATTTCCTCCTCTTCTTCTTCTACTTCAACTCCTTCCTCTGGCTGATGGCGAGAACATCAGCAGCAGAACCAAGTCCTACCTTCCTTTTATTCCACATAGAAATAGAGATGTATAGAATTTATCTTTGGTGCAGTACAAAAGTCCACGAGATAGAGAGAGAGAGAGGGGGACGGAGGGGGTGGGCAGCAGAGGTCGGGGGTTTGGCTGGACTCTAGAAGTGGCTTTGACAGGAAGTTCCACCAGCAGCATTTGGTGCCAATGGTCTCATGGACTGAGGGTTTGAAGAACAGGAGCGTGGCGGTGTGTTAACGCCGTCAGGCCGCCGTTGGTGTAAAAGACTGTGTCTGACGGGCTGACGGAAGGATGGTGCAGTCACAGCTGGACCATCCGTGACTCTTTGTACAAGTTTGGACAAAGCACACAGTTTAGAGTATTTTTAGGTGAACAACAGTCTTTCTCTGTAAATAAGCCAGGGCTTTTATTTAGTGATTTTAGCTGATACTGTATGATACTGGACTCTTATATGCATAAGTGGATCGGTCTTGCGGAGCCAAGCCACCCGTGGACAGTGACGCTTTACGTTAGTGATTTTGGTCTGCCGGTGACACACTCGCTGTGCTGAGTAGCAGCCAGTGTAGCATGCTGTTGTAGCCACCAGTCAGGATTAGCTTCAGACTGACAGAGAGGATCTAGATGTCTAACACTATTGGTGTCATAGAGAATATTCTTGTTCCATTTCCTGTCCACCTAGATGTGGCATTGTAAAGTCCCGCGACGGAATCCATGTTAGGAAAGGATTTTCTCTGGAACCGATTCCAGCACTGTCACTTTATGGGACAAATATATTGTGAGAGGGTGGCTCAACTGAAGCTAAAGCTCCTTTCTAGACAGTCCAGCTGTCGTGCTGTATAGACAGTGGTTTCGTTTTTAGTTCAGTTGGAATTACATGTTACGTTTTGAAGCCAAAAGTATTTTTTAGGGTCTTTTAGGAAGACGAGGCGTTGGTTCGGACTGAGGAGTCGAGTCCACTGTGTGTGTGTGTCTGTGTGATTGAGGGTGCTTTTTGTGTTGTAGGCCAAAAAATGTTTGGAAGACTCATAGGAATGAGACCTGGACAACATTGGTCTCAGACTCAGAGTTTGGAGTTGTCCGTCTTTTAGGCTGTTCTCCAGGAAAATAAGGTTTGATAACATTGCCCCTGTAGAGAACACGTGTGCATGAACTATGGTAGTTACTCACAGCTTCTCAAGAGTAAACGACTTGACTGTCTTATAGTGCTACTATCCAGGTCATGGGCCACGTACTAGAAGTGGAATTACCTAAATTTATCTCGGACTCAGCAGTCGTCTTTAATCTCAGACACTCTCACTGACTTTATTCTCTTCACAAATCACTGATGAATTCGTATTCCTGTTCTTCGTGGTTGGACATGCGTTACCTTCTATAAAGTGTTATCAAAACAGGGTCACAGTAAATGTGTTGACTAAAAACATCCAATCACACTCCAGGATTTCATTAAAAGTCCATTAGACCAGTGGCCCCTGACCTTATCTGCACCACGGACCAGTTTTACGTTAAACAATTTTATCTTTGGACCAGTGGTAGGAGTGTGTGTTGAGGGAAGGTCACGCACATTACAAAACACAATAACTCAAAGAGGAGCGGTCAAAAATGTTGTTGAATTAAAAATCAAAATAAAACATTTTACCCTTTCTCTGCGGCTGGCACTGGTTCCAGGGCCAGTGTTTGGGGACCCTTGCTTTATAACATAGCAATGACCCAGACCTTTACAGAAGTCTACTAGCAAAAAGTACCGCAGCACTATGTTTGTATGTGAACAGTATGTGTGCATGCGTCACATTATGGAGAAAATCCAAGAAATTCACAGGAACTGTCAGATATAATCCTGATTTATTTATGAATTAATTTATTCAAAGATTATGTGTCAGCTCCAGTTTCAGGCCTTTGGCTGCTGTGGAGTGAATTCTCGCCGCTTTGTACTGTACTGTACTGTACTGTATGTATGAGTCAAACAGTACTGGGAACTGACTTGATTTGACTTGACTTAGATTTATAATTTATGTGTTTGAAATAGTTTGGAAATATGTGGCCACGTTTGTTTATCAGTGCCAATGGGTGTCTCATATTAGTGAAAATGGTTCTCAACAGCCTGATCCCTGTGCATGTTAAATTGGGGATTCACTTTCATGTTGACATATATACTAGTCAGTCAACGTTTCTCCCGCTTGAACTATTGTGCTGTCTGTTGTATTTGAAAATTAAAAACCTAATCTTGTGGCGTTTCCTGCTTGTATTTGAGCCAAAAAACAAACAAAAACAAACAACGCACTTTTGTCAACAGTATTGCCACTTATTTCTAGCATGTTTTTCAAAGATGTGGAGGATTTCTTTTTTTCTTGTTTTTAATTTTCCTATTTTATTTTCTCTACCTTGAGGGATTCTCATGTTAATAGAAATGCTGATAAAATAATGACGTCGATACTTTTCTAGCTGTAGCCACAAGAGGGCACTGTGGTGCTGCGTTCCACCTCCACGCGAGGACTTGTCTTTTCTGGAAGGGTTTCTATAGAAACATATTTTTGGAAGGTTTGCATGCCTTGTTGTTCACTGAGTTTAATTTGTGTGTAATTTTAAGGCACTGTGTGGGAGGAGGTTGTACATATGAAAGGAAATGGTTTTTAGGACCACAAAGACTTTTAATTCACTTCTACCACAGAATATTAAGAGCCACATTGACAATGAAAAGAAAAGCATGATTAAGGTCGTACATTTGTGGAGAATAAAGTAGGTAAAATAAGTTGTAAGTTTTATGTTCTCACTTTTTTCCATTCTGTCCTCTTCTACTTGTTGCACTATAATTATAATTATTACTTTTGTTGTCAATATTACTATCGTTGATGTTGTTGTAAATGCCAACTTCATGTGTGGGAGGAGGTTGTACATATGAAAGGAAAAGGTTTTTAGGACCACAAAGACTTTTAATTCACTTCTACCACAGAATATTAAGAGCCACATTGACAATGAAAAGAAAAGCATGATTAAGGTCGTACATTTGTGGAGAATAAAGTAGGTAAAATAAGTTGTAAGTTGACCAAAGTAAAGTCAAATTTATTAGGATAAAATATTAGTATAAACATTTGTGATGGTGATGAGCCAGAAGGTGACCCAAGAAATCACATCATATAAACTTACGCTTTTAATCTCATAAAATGACTTAATTCTCATAAACATATGTCTTTATTTTCGCAAATCTGAGACTTTATTATACATCTATTAATTTTAAACTTTTTTTGAAAACTTACGACTTTATTCTCATAATTGCCGGACATTATTCTCACAGACATGTGACCGTATTACCTTAAAGTCTGGCCATTCTTATTATTGTAGATTCTTTTTATAGTCAGTGTGGCCCTAATGTTCCGTCGTAGTCTTCTGATGAGCACTTGATATTTCAGATTTTACGTAGTATTTAGAAGATAGACCTTCAGAGGTTAGTTTGCAGCTAATTCATGTTGTTTTATGCTCATGTCTTTTGAATTTGTTTGTAAATCCTCATTTTTGACATGGACGACCTCTGGACACAGACAGCAGCCTTGTGTCCAGTGGTCTTCCTGCAATAAACTGATTTACATACAGAAAACAACTCCAGTCTTTGGGTCTTTCTTGAGTGAGTCCAACAGCAAAATAAAATCCTAAATAAAGTGTTTGTATTTGTTTTTATGACAGCTCTTCATCTTTATGATTAGAGCTTGTCAAAAGGGCTCTTCAGGTCATTACTAAAGGTCACAGGTCAAATCAGGCCTCAAGGCTTTTTATTTTATTATTTAGGATCAGATCTGGCTCTGACTGATATATGTTATAGACCATTTAGGAATATATCGTTGACTCTATGACCTTTGATTTGGTACATTGTTACTGTGGAATGTGGACCATTTCTCATTTTCTTGGCTTCCCAGGAGGACTTTGTTTGACCCTGGTTTTTCATCTCCACCCTGGAAACAGTTCCAGCTTGAACATCCATAAAGATCAGCGATGCTACTTCAACTTTTGTTGTGACACAGTGTTGTTTTCTACTTAATATAGAATTATAGCCCAAAAGGTGGTTCTTAGTTAAGTCTTTTTGTTGGTTGGAGTCATTTACAGATCTAATTATTTGACTTTTATGTTCTCACTTTTTTCTATTCTGTCCTCTTCTACTTGTTGCACTATAATTATAATTATTACTTTTGTTGTCAATATTACTATTGTAGTTGTTGTTGTTGTAAATGCCAACAAGTGCTAAATCAATGTTAAAGTTATAGCTACTACAGTTGTGCAATTGGGACAGTACATTATTTTAAAACTAAAACGGTCTTTTTGCATTTGCTCTTTATACTCTAATGTGCCGGGTTTTTATTCTTTAATGTACTAATGACGGAATGAACTACATCTACTACGTTCCAGAAGTGACCAACAGAGGGCAGTGTAAGACAGGAAATGAAGTGTGAACGGCGCTGTCAGTCTGGGGACTTCGTCTGCAGCGCCATAAAATGACGTCAGCAGAGGAGACCATGGCTGAGGAAGAAAGGTAAGAGACAGCGACAGAAATGAGACTTTGTATAATACATAAATATGTATTTCTGCTCATGTTTTATTTTCTGGAAGTGTAAATAAGTCACTTATGTCATACTGGCTAACCGTTAGTGACATGAGGAAGGTAAACTGCTAGGTAATGTCGATTGCTGATACATATTTTTTCCTGTCATTATTATCTTCAGTTCCAGAAACTTCGTTGACAGCACCGTCCACGTTGACGTCAAGGTAAAACCACAGCAGCATTAGCTACAGAGACAACGGCCAAAGTCAAAGCTAAATCTACAGTTGTTGTGTTATCTCTGACATGTTATAACCATGACAGGTCTGGTCTGTTTAGAAGAAACGGGTGTAGCATTGTGAAGCGTTAAGAACGTGGAAAACAGCCAGAAGTTACTTTGAAGTTACTTCACCCTAGGACATGAGCTAAAAGAAAAGAAAAGAAAAAAGCCGTTGTGTGCATTAATCACACAGGACTGGAAAGAGTTGAGGATGTGATGCAGCACATGACCACGGGTTGGAGCCAAACCTCTTTAACCTGGTTCTGCTTTCCTTGGCCACTCGGATTATAAATGGCCACATCTGGTCAATTGTGGGGACATTTTCTGTGCCCTCCACTTTGTTGATGGACAGTGAAAAGAATTTAAATCAAATATGAACAGATTTTCACTTGCAGGATTATTATGGCAGGATAGTGAAGAAAACCTCAGACCTGCAGACCAGCGCCTGCGTGGCTCCACCCAATCCCGTCCCTCACTTCATACGCCAGGCTCTGGGCAAAGTGCACCCTGAAATTACTGACAGGTTTGTTTTAGTTCTGGTTGTTTGACTTAAATCTACACTATAAATCACTCTAATGCCGTGTTTCCTATCATTTTTTTCTTTTTTATAAATATTTTATATATCACTCTAATGCCGTGTTTCCTATATAAATATTTTGCACTAGAAATATTCCACAGCACAAACCAGGACTAAACAGGCCCAAGTCTGATTTAAAACAGACCTGAAATACTTGCAGGAATTGAAGAAAGACACTTTTTAATGGCTCCGTGTCTCTTTTTAAAATGTTATAGCCATCTGCTTCAACCTAGTGGAACAGTATTTAATAGTTCTGCCTATTAATGTTGCATGGGCATATTTAATTAGTTTATTTGCAGTAAATAGATTTTAAAACAAACAGTTTTCAGACAAATTAAATGAAATTGGATAATTTTCTAGAAATGCACTTGCGTGTCATTTGATGTTATTTGATGTAACATCTCGACTTAGTTTCCTTTTTCTTCTCAGTTTTGCTCTTCTTCTTACTGCACTGGTACTGATGATATTTGGTTCTCTCTGGTACGTCAGGTACTACGGCTGTGGCCTGGTTGTACCAGAATGTTTGGAGGGCTGTAGGATACTGGACCTGGGCAGTGGAACAGGGCGAGATTGTTTCATGCTGAGTCAGCTGGTCGGGGAGAAAGGTCATTTGACTGGCATTGACATGACGGAGGACCAGGTTGTCCAGCTCAGCTTCTTTTTATCTAGTGGAAAGATGTGAAAAGGGTTTTTTTTTTTTTTTTTTTTTTTTTTGTGTGACTCACCATACTTGATGATTCTCAATCGTCTGTTTTCTTCTCCAGCTCGCAGTGGCCCGTACATATGTGGACTACCACATGCAGGAATTTGGCTACAAAAAGCCAAATGTCACTTTTGTCCAGGGCTACATTGAGGCTCTGACAGAGGCAGGTCTGGAGAAGAACTCTTTTGACATCATCATGTAAGATAGGGTTCACCTCGCCTCACTTCACAGGACCTTAACAAATTCTCTGATCTGATAAAGTGAAAATGGATTCTCTTCTTCTTTTAGATCAAACTGTGTGGTGAACCTCTCTCCGGACAAGAGGCAGGTCCTGGCTGAGGCCTACAGTGTCCTCAAGGTACATTTGAAACCTGGCATGGTGTCTCCCTTTTACCATACCATGTCCACTTTAGTAGGCTGCACCACATGATTACTCAGCCAATGACAAAGAGGTGGGACAGGAAATGTGATCCGAGGATGACAGGAAGTTAGAAGATAGAAAGATTGGAGAAAAAGTGAAGCTGGAGCACACAGGTGGTAAGAGTTTTGTCTCCAGTCTTTCAGTGCTTCTGAAAAATCTACCAGCATTGGACTCTGGGAAAAAAACCACCAATTGGGACAGGCTGTGGAATACAGTTGCATGATGTGGCAAAATTGGACCAACTCTTGAGTGTAAACTTGATAATCGTGTTTGTCTGTCAGGACGGAGGTGAGCTGTACTTCAGCGACATCTACAGCAATGGAAGACTGACGGAGGAAATTAAAAACAACAAGGTGCTCTGGGGTGTGTGTCATCAACAATCTGCAAACACACGTACCATACTCACAGAGACCTGATGATAGAATGTCCTTCATGTGCACAGGTGAGTGCCTGGGTGGAGCTCTGTGGTGGAAGGATCTGCTGGAGTTTGCTGAGGAAGTGGGCTTCAGCCCTCCACGGCTGGTCACTGCCCACGTGGTCACTGTGGACAAGCAGGAGCTGAAGGACATTCTGGGTTAGATGCTTTATTTTCTATTTAAGGTGACAATTTCAGTTGGTAATGAGGTACACAAGACAATTTCAGTTGGTAATGAGGTACACAAGACAATTTCAGTTGGTAATGATAATGGTATCCAAATAAAGGACCATTGAATTTGGTCATAATTTATCTGGAGCTAACTTTGTTCCAACACAGTGGTGTTCCAACTAAACAATATTCCTAAAGGTATAATCCAAAGGATGGCTCTTGGGTGCTGAGTAAATAAAACATTGATTATTGATTTTATTCTGCTCTGCAAAAACAGGTGACTACAGGTTTATTTCTGCCACCTACCGCCTGTTCAAGGTCCCTAAAGGAGACACCAGGCCCTGCCAGGTCATATACAACGGGAATATCACTGGAGTAGAGGACAGCTTCCAGTTTGACTGTCAGAACAGATTTAAGGTTTGTAGATGCAGCATTCGACCTGCAGCCGTGTGTTTGTCTCTGGCAGTTTACACTGTTCTGAATTTGTGTGTATTCAACAGGTTGGTGAAGTAGTGGCAGTGGATGGAGAATTGGCCAACATCCTCACCCATTCCAGGTTTGCCGATGACTTCACATTCCAGCCCCCTGGAGGTTCCTGTGGAGTCAAACCTAAGGTCAGTGTCACAACACATGGACATCACACATCAAGTCAATGTTTTTTGCATTGATTTGATGTTCTTTTTGTTTCCAATCACAACATGTAGTACAATGTATTATCCCAGGGCAGTTTGCATCGATACTTTCTACTATGGTAGAATGAGGTTCTTTTTCAAACTTTGTGAAATGTCACTCATTTCCCTCATGTTAAACTTTGGACTTCTTCTTCTCCACGCTGCAATCAGACCTCAGATACTTTATCCTAAACTCCAAACGTATGTTGGAGATAATAGTCATAAAAGACCTGTGGCCTCGGCTTAAAAGCACAGCTACTGTGAAATGAACAACCAGTGACTGATGGTGTGTTACACACTGTCAGTTCTTCTTCTCCTCCTCATTTACCTCCACCTCACCCTGTGTCTCCTGCCCACTTTGCTGTCTTCATGTCCTTCATCATTACATAGACAGATCTTCTCTGGTCTCTTCCTCTTCTCCTCTTTTCTGGCAGCTCCATCTCCATCATTCACCCATCATCTCTACTCTTTCTCCTCCATCCAAACTCTCTTAACTTTATTTTTAAACTGCTCCACCTTAACTGTCTCTCCCTCCAGTTTCCTCAAATGTTCTTTCAGTTCACTTCTTTTTGAAGGTACTGTATATATGATGAAAACTGGTCTAAGTCCTGTCCTAACTGGTTTAAATCATTAAGATCAGACACCTGCAGAAACAGAGTAGGAACACACAAGGACTTTTTGACTCACCCTGGAGCATGGTTTTAAAGACAGATTTTTGTCGGATCCGTTAAAACCGTGTATTGTTTATCGTGTAACACTTTACAGTAAGTGGGTTTTAAAATTCTAATTCTCTGTATCTGCTTGAACTGTCGACCCAGACGGCAGTTGTGGATCCTTTCGAGTTGGCGCTTCAGGCGACGAAACGAGGACTAGGTTCTGCCACGGGGGGGTGCTGCAGCACACAGTCTGCTGCCTGCTGTAAGTGATTGAAGAGCTCGTGAGAAATGCGGGCGGCAGATCCACATCAGTTAATAAAGACTTTAATTAGAATTCAGTAGATCCTCACCTGAACACCGATTGGTCCTTTAAATTACTCAGCTGCCATATGTAACCACGTGATCCACGTTGCCTTCATCGGGTAGCCCACCCCCAACGTCCTCATTGATATTCACTCTTAAATTGAAATAGTTAAATCAACGATTATTTCAGCTATGTATAATTTAATTAACTTGAATTAATATTAGCTAATTGCCTTGTTCTTCGTGGGCCACATAAAAACACCCTATATCCTGGTAATAACTTACAAAATATAACTACTATTTTGATATAGCTGTGTATTATTCACCTGTTAATTACTTCTAACCTTTTACTCTGTGCTACTTCAGGACTGTAAGTATCGCCATTGTGATACTAATAGGAGTTTTCTAATCTAATCTAATCTTTTGCTGTGTTTTATGCCAACATTACATAAAGTGGTGTCACACCAGAAAAAGTTGTTGATACTACTGAGAAGAGACCCTTCTGTGTACTGGCAATAAATTAACTATTGTAACAAACAGTGGTTCAGCCTTTCTGTACTGTTTCTACTTTCCCTAAATGACACTGTTAGTTAATACTGATGAGAATTAATTTTCCAGGGATCTAGTTGGATAATTTTCAATGTTTTACTATATCAAGTCAGGGTTTTGACCAGGAGGACTGTTCAGCTGACAGGGTGCATGTCGCATCGAAGACCGGAAGTTGTCAAAGCTGCACTTTAACCGATTACCACAATTGCATAAAAGTTCGATTTTTTTTTTCTGTTAGAATTCTATGGCCTCACCTTGTGGTCGATGTTCATCACTAAAACAGTGGTGGAATTCCAATTAGCCTTAGTTTTAGCTCTTTAAATAAAATTAAAATTCAACAAACTATTGTAGTTTTGAGTTCGAGTCGTCTGAGCTGACATGTAAACATGTGAAGAACTTTATAAATAAAACACAAAGTGTAGTTGGTTTACTTAATGTTGTGGTAAAAACACTGAAGTGCCTCTGTAGAGAATGTAAACAAAAACACTCGTTCTGATAGCAGCAGTTTTATCTTTCAGGACCACGTGCACTGTTAACAGCCTCATGAAGAACTGTACATATAGTTCTGCCTGTTGCAGTCTGCTTTAAAAATAAACGAAAAGAAAAATAATTCAAATCAAAGACGTCGTAGTGGAAGAGAAACGAGAAGTGTTTTCATTTAGTTCCCTTTTTTCGTCGAGTCACAAAACCGTTACGTTCAAACTCCTGCAGTGTGATATAGAATGTGTTGGTTTAAAATAAATAAATAAAAAGTCACGGGTGAAGTTTCGTCTCTCATCTTTACGCGAGGTGCACTTGTTTTGGAATATGATTGGCTAAGGACACAGCGGAGTCCCCGCCTCTGAGTGGAGTCTACTCCTGATTGGCCGCCACCGTCGCCTGTCTCGGGGACCTCGGAGCTGGCCCGTCAGCTTGCCCGAGGTCTCCTCAGTTTCAGACACGTCGTGGGAACGAGCAGGTCCCGTTCTTCGTGGTTGGACATGCGTTACCTTCTATAAAGTGTTATCAAAACAGGGTCACAGTAAATGTGTTGACTAAAAACATCCAATCACACTCCAGGATTTCATTAAAAGTCCATTAGACCAGTGGCCCCTGACCTTATCTGCACCACGGACCAGTTTTACGTTAAACAATTTTATCTTTGGACCAGTGGTAGGAGTGTGTGTTGAGGGAAGGTCACGCACATTACAAAACACAATAACTCAAAGAGGAGCGGTCAAAAATGTTGTTGAATTAAAAATCAAAATAAAACATTTTACCCTTTCTCTGCGGCTGGCACTGGTTCCAGGGCCAGTGTTTGGGGACCCTTGCTTTATAACATAGCAATGACCCAGACCTTTACAGAAGTCTACT